AAGGAACGATTGGCCATCGGTGATCGGTCCTGTGGGAACAATGCTCCGTCCTCTCGAGGACGCGTGGTCAATGGTCTAACCGCTAAGACATGCAAAACATAAGAGTACGCCCCCCCCCCCACCCCCCCAGGAAAATCCACGGAACCCCCCCCTTCGAGTACCTGCGACGCCGCCGACCTCCCCCTTCCCCCTGCGTCACGCCTCTTAGCTGCGGTCCCCACCATCTCCTCCTCCTCATCGTCCTCCTCCTCATCATCAGCGTTGATAGCAGCAGCAGCAGCAGCCGCCCCTCTCCTGCCCTTGCCGGTGCCGGCGCCGCCTTGATCGCTACTCCCTCCGCCTCCGCTTCGACCTACTCCACCTCGGGTGCTCGTACCTCCGGCCGCCGGCGCCGAAGGCATACCCATGTCGTCGTCCTCGTCGTCGATATCGCTCGGGCCGTTGTTGGCGCGGCCGTTGTTGTTGCCTTCTCCCGTCGATGAAGCGGGGGCATTACGCTTGGCTGTGGCCTTGGCTCGCTCGGCGTTTCTGACCCTCTCAGCTTCGAGCTAACGCCACGATGACAGGGGGTCCCGGCGGCACGGGGGGTAGGTAAGGTGAACACTAGAGGTGGCCTGGTGCACTTCGCTTCTAACAAAGCAAAAGCACTCGACAATAACAAAAAACACCCAATATACAATGAATACAATGCAAATTGGCACGGAGCGAGGAAAATGACGCATACTGTGAGGTTGCGAGTTAGCGCACAGGGACAGGGGCGCGATCGATTTTCATACAGTAACTTCTCCACAACAAGGAGGGTGCGAGCACCAACTGATACTTTTCAGGAAAGCTCTCGATGAAATATTTCCAAAATCCCCCTTTTCGACAGTGGTGACTTCCCGGTTGTGGAGAAAATACTCTGTGGAGATCGTTCGCACCCCTGTGCGCTAACTCGTAACCTTACGGTACTACCCTACACACGCGCCGAATTACCCGGACCTACTTCCCCCCTCCTGGCAAACACTCCATGTGTGTTTGGTCCCGTGCTTTGTCCCTACAGAGGTTACGCGGCATTGTCGGCCAACCAGGCGCTAGGGGGCGGTCCGCGTGAACTATCGTGACGGAAGAAACGTTGGCGTATTCTAAAAAAAAAAAACACGTTACGTATCGGCACGGAACTTGTCAGTGAGGACCCCTACGGCTGGCAGCTTACTGCCAGCTGCCAGCTGTGATGACATTTCCCGAGCTCAACAGCTCACACGAGGTGTTGCGACTCGAAGAGCCAAGCGAACCTCAGCGAACCAAAACAGAGCATCGACGAACGTGTAAAACATGGAGTCTTACGCGCTCATCTCGATCGCTCGTACCTCTCCCCGCTCTTTCTCGTTCCGCTTAGAAATAGCGTCGTCGATCATGCCCACGGTGCCGGCGGACCTTTCCTTCCGGAGGGCCTTCTGCGTGCCCTCCAGAGCTTCCTTTACCATGTCCGGCACTGCCTTTTGGTGGGAATCGTGACAAAACGGCCGCAAAAAAAGGGCTCCGAACAGCTGTTGGGGGGTCGTTCTCGTGCATATGCATGCCGTGGTGTTAGAACATTGACCACGCAATCCCTACCATGCTGGGGTGGGGCGATAACCCCGGCTAGTTTAACAAGGACGAACCAGAAGCTGGTCATCATCCATGCGATTGCTAGGGGAGGGAGCGAAGCAGGTTGTTGTTGTGCAGCGGGGAGAATAGAAGGGGTGATCGGATAGTGATAACATCGGAGGAAATGGTAGAGGAGAGAGGGATGGACGGAGGAAGAGGGTGTGGCAAAGTGCAAAAGTTTCACCTTGGACCGACCAGATCTCCGACACAACCAACACCGGGTGGACAAAGAACTGACCGCTAACGTAGAATAACAAAAACATAACCATAAAAAAACGGGGAAGATGATAGAACCAGCAACAGGAGTGCCCCGAGGGAGCAAAAGACGACCACACCAGAGAAAGGTGGAGACAACGATACACGTGTGCACTATTCATCTGTTACCACTTCCGTCTTCGATCCGGAGAACACCCTAAAATAGCCCCTCTGCCCACGGGGCTCGACGTCATGGCCTTTACTAGGGTTGACGTTTTTTCGGGCGCGCTAAGAGTGGCGTATTGTCAATGGCGCGCCGGTTGCGCCATCAATGCTACGCCATGAACACACACACTGCTGCTGCCGTTTCCGTCTTCAAGCCGGAGAGTGGCTTGCCCACCCCCATGATACTCCCTCGTCCTTGCGGGATGACACTCCCTCGCGGGGTCCCCGATCATGGCCTTTAGAACCACCTTGTGTTTCCAACCGCACCGAGACTGGGGGCCTTTCATTGGGCAGCCAGATAGCAGTATCGATGCCAATCATAAACACACGCATACACGTGTCTGCGTTTGTTATCCCGCTGCAAGATTGGTGTCTTTTTATTGGCCAGCCGGTTAGCGCGGTCCATGCCGAAAACAACAAAATACAACCACACCTGTGCGTCCTGCTTGTAGACGTAGTCCTCGAGAGCCATCTTGAGCTTCGGCTCCACCAGGAGGGACAGCTTCTTGTCCGCGTTCTCCAGATTTTCAGTCACCAAATCCTGAAAAAAAACGTCAAAAGGGGCTAATGCTTATACACCACCACCAAATAGAGGGCGTGGTTCGTCGTTTGTTGGTTGGCGTGACCTAGGCAAGGCATGAGTGAGATCGACTGGGAAGACTGAGCTGTCCCGAGTGGAATGAAAATCTCATGCAACTAGTTAGCAAACTTGACAAAAAGAACGTGCTCGTGCTCTTCTGTAACTCGTTCCAAAAAAAGCCCGGCCACACCAGAAAAGTTAATCCTGTTCGGTTTGACAATTTCGGACGCAAGGCACGGGAACGGCCAACAGCTCCGAGAAAATCAGCAGCAACAGCGACAACCACATCGCAATGACAACAATTCAGACACCACCACCAACAACACCAACAACACCAACAACACCAACACCAACATCAACGCCAACATCATCAACAACACGACACATTGCTACACATACCTCCACGCGAATGTCGGCCAAGTTGTCCGGGCGGATCGGGTCCGAGAGGCCACCCGAACGGGATGACTTGCCCCCCCCCAGGGCCGAATCCCCCGCGGCACCCCCGCCCGCATTCCGCCGCCGGTAGAAGAGAAGAAGGTCGGAGGGGTTCGCCACCTGTACTTGGTTTTTGTAAGGCGTTTGTAATAAACAAACAACGAAAAAGAGGGGGCGCTCGTAACAAGACAGAGAAAAAGACGCATATCCAACAAAAACAAAGAGGCGTTTGCACAGAAAAAAAATAAGCGGTTGTACTAGAGTCTTGAAACACGCAGCGGCATTGCGTTTATATTGAAACGTTGAACGACCGAATTGGCTAACTGAACTACCAAAGCATTCAAGCAGGGATAACCGGTAGGGTTGCCTTCTCGTGCACATACGGATAGGAGCCCTACTTTGCAATTTTTTGGATATTTCATACCCTTAGAGGAAAGAAACACGATGTATGCATCAAGTCGGCGGTGCCTCTAAGAGGAGTACGAAGTTGCGGAGATCTGGACTATCGTAGATCTGTCCGGAAACTCCACGGTCTCATGACGAAAGGGATAGCAAAGCGTGGAAATCAGTGACAACCCGGCAATCTTGAAAGAAAACTGTGTTACTGTTTGCATGTTCCCGCAACCACCTGCAAAACGATCCCGCCCCCCCTTTCCTGTACGTAGCCTGGGCCGGCGAACACCCCGCGTATCACTAAGCCCCGGCATTGTAGGGATAGGGATACGAGATCGATGGTCTACCGACTACGCCATCCCTTACATGAGTACACACCTCCGTACCTTGCCCATGAACTGGCTGCCGAAGCGCTGGTTGTTGAGGGTCGGGAAGTCCGAGTGCTCCACCTTCAGGCGCACCAAGACTTGATTTCTCTTCTCTATCTTGAANGGGGGGGGGGGGGGGGGGGGGGGGGGGGGGGGGGGGGGGGGGGGGGGGGGGGGGGGGGGGGGGGGGGGGGGGGGGGGGGGGGGGGGGATGTAAAGTTGATTCGGGCGACAGTATTGCACGCCAGCAACTCTGCCGTACCACGAGAAGCAACATTAGGTGCGTTCCTGTTGTCCACAGCTCTTGCTTCGCGAGGAAACAAACCGGGGGTCGACAACAATGACGCACAGAGGGGTGTAGACATTTTCCGACGGTGGTACCGGACATGCAATAGGGGCATACACACTCTAATCCAGAGAATGCATGCTGTTTTTTCCTCCTGTCTACCCTACTCATGCCTCTCAACAAATCAATTACGCCGAATGTGAGCGAGCACGGTGTGTGTGTGTGCACCCAATCCGCCCTCCAACCTTACAAGCGGGGGGAGTATCGGTCTCAGTTTCACAGGCCGGCGGCGGAATAGGAGCGGGGGGGGGGCGGCGGCGGAATAGAAGCCAGATGGGGGGGGGGAGGCGGTTACCTCTTGCCCCTGCGGGGGTGTCAAGGCGAGCTCCTCGTCTTCCTTGCGCAGCTCTTCTACCATTTGCTCCACCTGGTTGGCAAGCGCCTCACCCACCGCCTCGTCAACCTGTCAATAAAACACCACGTCAGACAGCGTTACAGAGACACAAGGGATGAAAAAAAAGAACAGTGTGTCCAGGATTTTTACTGTTCTCCTACGTTATCAACGCACAGAATTCTTGGTACCCATTGGAATAATTTGCATCCCGGACGCCAGTCACACTACCCCGGCTGTGTGCACCATCGATACAACTGTGGACAGCTGTAAGAGAGATACCGGCGATGGAAAAGGGAAGCTTTGCTCTCAGGATATGAATGATTTTTCTTCGCGGTTGATTTATATAATTCTTGCGTTATTGGAATCATATGTGTACCCCGCACGCCAGCCAGGCATACGAAGTAGAACAGCCAGAGCGACAGCGACGTCATAGGAAAACACGCCTACTGCTGTGTATACCATCAATAGGAACTTGTCGATGTATTTCTCATCGTCGCCATTCTCGCTGCAACCACCGTCCGACGCTATCAGCACTAGCAGCCGGTAGGTCTATTTCTCGTACTATGTACTATCAATACTCAGGGGGCAGTCTACACCTTCCGGTATATAGTAGTAAGGACGCAACAGCTCCATGGGTATGTCAAGTAGTGCATATGTATGGGGAAAAGCAAGGGGTACAAGCATGAAGCACAGCGGTGCTCACGTTGGCGCCCTTTGAGTCAAGCCCGTCCACCTCGCTGAGAACGATCTCTCCCATGCGGAATGGCCGAACCTGCATCATACCGAGGGGACGAGAAAAGGCACGGCTGAAGAACCACCGAGATGGGTCTTGGTTGACATGCGGGGTAGGTCTCTGTCGTCTCTCAGTCTCCGTCTCTCGCTCTCTCTCTCTCTCTCTCTCTCTCTCTCTCTCTCTCTCTCTCTCTCTCTCTC